GGTCCATAAAAATTGTTAATTACAACCCAGTTTAGATGTTTACTTTTGATAGACCACCCACGTGTGGTAATAAAATATAACTACCCGTTAATTGGAAATTCCTTCCTTGAAGATTAAAACTTTTTATCCGCTGGAAAGTAAACTATTACCGACCATATGTTTGTAATTCCCATTTTGAAAGCGGGCTACTGTATCATCCTTTTGTTAGAGCCCGGCTTTAAGGAGATGTTGAGGATTTTTTATATAGCTATTAGCAAGTATAATGCCTATTAAGAATGGTCAGAGATTGATAAACTGCCTTTTTATGTAATAAATATTAACCAGTCATAATATAATGGATGACGTTCATGTTTCCAAGAGTAATAGCATTATTAATCCTAATACATTAAATACACCACTGATTTCAGAATTCTCCACAAAGCTATTTAAATTAAAAAAAAAATGAATGCAGGTGATTGCATGTGTGCCTTCTTTATTTACTCAAACCTTTATTTCTGAATTTATATATTTTAGAGTTTTCCTTTTTTTTTTTTCTTTATGAGTGGGACTCAGATGCAAGTTCGGGTGAAGGCAGAAAATTGTTAATTATATCAGCTGTTGATTGATTCAGGGATAACTCTCAGACAGTGATACCGTTCTTAAGAGAATTTTCGTGACCATTAGCAAGAGGTTTTAAGGTATTATACAAAGTACAAAGTTCCATCATTCAACTCCAGGAATGCTACCAGAATGAGCTTTCTACTTCTATTTTCTACCCGAAGACTTGAAGAATGTTTTTTGTGTTTAAAACTCATTTATAGCAGAGATGGCATACACGGTTGTGTGATATGCCATCCCTGCAAAACCCGTGTAGCCGAAAGGCAAGGCACGGAAAAATAAATTTAAAAAAAAGTTCTATCAACAAGGTAGTGTGCAGGCACCTATTATTGACACTTTTAACTTCAATTTGATAAGATAAGCATTTAGGTTCATGATGGATTTCAAACTTGGCACCCTTTGAAGGGCTGATTGAAATCCCTTTGAAATGGCGCCAAGTTTGAAATCCTACATGAACCTAAACGCATATTTTATTACATTGAAATGTCAATAATTGGTAATATGACAATAATATATGCTTGCTCCCATTTCGCACAATAATTTAGCTTACTTATGCAATATTATATTTTTACAAATAAAGTCCACATTTGTTCATCAACACGTTATTATTTATATTTATCTGTTATTTTTAACTTTAGCCGCTTTATATACGAATAAATTGCAATTAAATCTAGTCTGACATCAGCTCGATTTTTTTAAAAATTCATTAAGTAACAATTCATAAACTTAAATAACTAAGAACTTCGATGCATTTTCACTTTGTGAAATCATAGAATTGAGCGCTGGTTGTAACTTTATCTGATATATAAAAAGATTTATGCCATCTTCGTGCACATACTGTATGTTTTTTTAATTGATAAATCAGGTTGAAATTCACAGAACGTTCTTAAAAGTTGAGCTCCATTAAAAACATACTTAGTTAATTTATAAATTAGTAGAAAAATTTGCAAAATAAGTTATTTTGATGTAATTATTGGAACCTCAGACAAATTTACCAAGCTAAACAGTCAAAGTAGTAATAACCAGTGCCGACCTTAGACTTTCGACGTCACCGGGCAATGGCGTCGTCTTCCCCCACATTAAAATCTCTTAAGCTGTTTTATATTATGAAATAAACCATCAAATTCTTCTAGTGTCCAATCCTTACAATCCAAAATCCTTCGTGAAATCCCCAATGTCACAAATTAAATCATCTATCACGACCTTAATGTACCATATGTTTCCAATCTAGCTCAATCCAGATACCAATCCATCCAAAATAAACTTCTGAATCATTAGAACCGTCTTGTTTCCAACCTTGCTTCTTCTTTTATTCCTGATGACCCTCCGAGGCGTTTGAAAAGGAGATGGCCTCGGTACCTTCTAATATAGAAATATAATTGGAGTATTACCAATGGGTAGTTTCTCTTCATGTTTTACATTCCATGTTACTTGTTTCATATTCACTTGTTGTATTTATCATTTAATATAGTTGTAAATTTCAATAATAAAAAAAACAAGGAAATATTTAAATTTTATTTCATTCACCATTTCTTTAATACAACTGTTTTATTGTGTTTATTGCGCCCCTGAAAATCGGGCGGCGCCCCTCCAGGTCGATGCCCCGGGGAAATTATCCCGGTCGCCCCACCCTAAGGCCGCCACTGGTAACAAGCGTAGCTCGAATGATTCGAAATTGGAAAACATTAATAAATAAAAATTATTCAATGTACTCATATATTGTATTCGCCCTGAATCATTTGACAGTTCATCCATAAAAATTAATGTCTTACTCGAATGAAAACAAAACAAATGAGGTAGTTTGTCTGGGACAAGATAGCATACAATTTTATCATGATATACGAAGATACCCCGCAGCAAAAATTTAGGTTGCAATTTGAAGAAAACTATTTCCCGTTGGAGTCGGATAGCAAGCAACGACGGTTCAATAAATCATAAATATATATTTTTATTTTATTTTTTTATAATTACGGCATAATTTATCTGAAGGCTGGACCATTTCTTATATAAATGGTTGCTTAGGTATTACCCCTTTATAATGAGAAGCAATAAAAATGGTGATGTATTATCTCACAAGAAATTGAAGGGGCGTGTACGTTCTCTCTGAGTGAGTAGGCGAGACAGATGCTGTAAGAAAGTTGGACACCTTATTGGAGTACTACATCTCAGAAACCCTATGTACCTAACCACGAGTCCTTGCATAGTCTTGTCTCTAATAAAATTACATGTGTAATAAGGTTTAAAGCCCATAAAATTATATATTTTAAGACTGTAAACCTTAAATACCATAGATCTATTTTGCAACCAACTTGTAGAGAAATGTATTTAGTAATATTTTTTTATCAATGGATTATAAACAAAAATTAAAAAAATATATGTATATATGAATATATATATATATATATATATATATATATATATATATATATATTTTTTTATGAGCCATTGATTTATTTTATTTAATCCATTAATGAGACAAAAATATTTAAAAACAAGAGGAAAAACGAAGGTACAGCGGACTAATTATACCCTAATCAGACATCATCAGTGCACCTTTTCCTGCCCCTCCTTAGTATTTAATTTATACTTTAATTAATTAACGGATTTTGTGGAAAAAAAACAACTAAATATCTGGAACGGTAATGGACCACTCAATTATCCAAAATAAAATAAATGCTGTTGATAGCAACGAAAATATTTATGTAAATAAAATTACAAATATAATAGTAAGTGGTAAAGACCCATTTTTATCAAATTATTGACATCCACCTGAAATTTAGTGAATAACTTCATTTCATAGTAACCTACAACTATTTTAGGTGAAGGCGTTTTTAATATGTAGATAAACAAATTTTGTCTATCTAATTATGTACGAAAATCCCGTAAATATTGATTTGCTTTCCACTTGAACCGTAAGATAATTTAATTACAAAAGTGAGCAAAAAGATGGCCTACAAAAATATTGGGCCGTTTGGCCAATATAACCTCGTTATTTCGACATATTGGGGGTGCAAGTCACGTCAAGCGGCCCGATATTTTTAGAGGCCACCTTTTTTATCGACTTTTTGATCAAATTATCTTGCGATTCAAGTGTACAGCAAATGGGTGTTTACGAATTTTTAGTACCTTGTTGGTTGTAACAAATGCGAAGTTTTGAAAGATGTAAATCTTTATCTTTAAAGTCTTCCACTTTTTTCAACTGAAGTAATCTATACCATCTTCATTATTAGCTAATTGGTCCTTTCCTTAATAAAACAAATAAAAATCTTATAGACCCCTGTCAGCCCGACTTGTTTGCGTTATAATTCAAAGTAAAGACAACCCTATCATTCCCTACTGTTCAAGTGACTGGTGGATCCACTGGAGGGAGGTGTTTTGGACTGAAGCCCTCTTTCCCCCTCCCTCACAAAGTAAATAAACCTATCCTAAAACGTATTTTAGGAAAAAATGCATTTTTTTACATTGGCCCATATTTGTTTCTGTGAGTGGACATAGCTAAATAATTAAAACATCACAATATATTCTCTTTTGAAATTATAAACCATGCATTCATTCGTTTATTTTCACATTTTTTTCGGTAGAGTTTTAAATCGACATCAAGGGAATTGGCTCCAGTACATTATGTATTTCAACCATACCTCTCATAATGACAACAATTATTAATTATCGAAACATCACTTTTACAAGTGAACGATTATTTTTTGTGTGCACCTATTTATACAGAGAAAAATGATTAATAACAAACAAAAAAAAAGGAAAGAAAAATGTTTTTAAAAAATCTCCTAAAAGAGACAACAAGAATTAGTTTTTCATGAATTAATCACGTAACAAAATGAGCGCATTCTAGAAACTGACTGAAAAAATCTTAAATTCATTGGATGTCTTCAATTTTTTTTTTTTTTGAAATTGGCGTAAAGCATAACGTGAGATCGAATCATACATTGGTCGGTGAGCTATAATGGGTTCTGGCAGATATTCTATTATCTCCGATTTTGAGATGATGTGTTATAGTTTTCTCCTTCTTTGTAATCAATATTTTTTTCATTGAGCGCTAAGAAGGGATGGAATCCCACATGACTGGTTACACACAAGTCAGTTGTTGGACACAGATGTTACAAGGACAGATTGTTTGAGTTAGATATTAGTTAGTGTTAATAAAAAAATAATCCGATTAAAACGGGAATCGGGAATTAAATGAAGAAGCCGAGATCAGCAAATATTGCGTCGGGCAAGTGAAAGGTAGGGTTGCAACCGCTGACTCACACCCACGCCTCGGCTTGCCGTTTATTACGAACAGCTGTTGGCCAAACCGGGCCGCGGACAGACAGACAGACTGACTCCATAACGGAAGACAAAAGGAAGGAGAGATGATGGAGGAACTGAATGGAAGTCGGCTGTTGTGAATGGAGAGTCGCTTGCACCTGTTCTCTACTCGCCCACGCTACCATTTGCATAACTGCCGTTGCCTCCTCGAGAGCTGTGTCCTCGCTCCTTCCCAACCTTGGCGGGAGAGAGGCAACCAAGTATTGGATCTGTCCATTTACTCAAATCAGGAGATCATTCAAGTAACTTATGATGGACCCTTTGTAACTCTCCATTTTTTAAGTTTTCAACTGTTGGGACCGGTAAGTGTGTCTAAAAACACCGATTTCAGAATTGCAACCAACACTAAAATGTTAAACTAGATAAAATCTCGAAGTTTCACAAAAAATCTAATTTAGAATGGTTATAGCGATATCAACAAGTCCATTTTCATGCGACTCATACTAATTATGACAGAACATCACAAGAAACGTAAATAAAATATTTTATATTTTTAATTTGTTTGTTTGCTTCCAGATATGTATTATAATGTAAATTCATCAACTTACCTGACAGTTTGTTTACTTATAGTACATTACATTAAAAGAAATCTCATCGGCTTAGCATTATCCTGATATTGTTGGCAAGTATGCCAACTGAAGCCATTTCGACAGTATAAATAATATTTTTGAAAATTTAATTTATTTTTTTATGATATAGACAATAATTGTTATTCATAATGTAAAAATAAATCCTCGAACTTATGGAGTCAGGATTACTTCATGTTATGAGCGTTTCTTTTCATAAGAAAAAAAAAATGTTTAAAAGAGCATATATATGTAATATAGACTTTTCTCAGAATAATCAAAAATGCTGGGGCAGGAGTTTACTCGAGAGAGTTTCAGTTCAGTGCTGCGGTGGGTGAGGATGGTACGAATTTTGACGGTGAGATAGCAGCGATCCTCATAGCCCTAAGAACACTATCAGGAAGGCAAGTTCAGAACGCTGTTCTCTTTGTCGACTCGCGATCAGCAATCCTCGCCATTACTGACGTGAATAAATGTATGTCGAGTGCTATCTTGGAGTGCAAATCCCTTCTCTTCGGTCTAACACTCCGAGGCACCAATGTGGTCCTTCAGTGGATTCCGAGCCATTGCGGTATTCCAGGAAATGAGGAAGCGGATAGTCTCGCCAGGAGGGGAGAAGAATTGCCACAAACAGTACATCCAAAATCCTACGATTCAATTCAGCGAATGGTGAGGATGATAGTGAAGGAGGAAACAAAAAAGATGCACAAAGACAAGCTGGAAGGGAAACGTTATGGATGTTTGATGGAAAACCCGATCCCAGCAGACCTACCAAGAAGAGATGCAGTAGCCTGCTTCCGCCTGGTCACTGGTTACGACTATCTACAAAGTCATCTGCACAAGATAGGCGTGGTTGAGGATCCGAGATGTAAATTATGTGAACAAGCGGAAATGGATGCAGACCACCTAAACGAATGTCCTGCTTTGACGGATATAAAGAATCAAACATATGTAAATGATTACATACAAAAATCAAAATTATATTGGGCAGCAAGATGTCGGATGGTCGAATGACCAATGATTATGGCATAGGAAAAAAAAAAAAAAAAAAGAAAAGAATAATCATTATTGATTAAAATTTTTTTATCGAATTTGGTTGTAAATGGAGAAAAACTGTAATGGTTACTATCGCCAGACAAGAACTCCAGAGTTTCCGAAATTGGATCAGAATCAGAAAACCGCGGGTGAGGCCTATTCGCAGTGACCTATTCGAAGACGATTCATGACAACTTGACGTCTGGAGCATTTACTATTTCAATGGCAGCATTGATTACTTCAATGGCTGGAAGATTTCTGCGCTTGAAAGATATGAACATTGACACTATCAATCAAGTGTGCAGCTGCATCGGCCATATCATTTCCCGTTATGCCGACATGGCTAATTATCCATATCAAAATTATCGTAATACTTGAGATTTTTATTTATCAAAAAGTAATTACTTTTTCTTGCCGTTTCAAGGCTTTGATTAATACTAGTCCAATACATTAATTCGATAGAAAAGTAATGAGGATATCCTTTAAGAAAACCGTACTGCAAATGAAGAAGTGAAACTTATAAATAACAAATTTGAGGGTTTGTTTCTGTATGATAGAAGTAGTCCAATTTCTATTCCTGTCTCAAATTCATTACATTAATATATGCTATACATTAAAGATATTGATGTATTGTTATTTAGGCTCTTCTGGATCAGTTTGAAATCCTGCAAACAGATCACCTGTTATACTCTAGAAAGAGTTCCATAATCTTATAAAATATACAAGTTAATTAGATTACCATTTATTATGAAAGTTAAAAAAGTTAATCTGTTTATCACAAAATTATTCAAAGCTCGATAAAAAACTAAACTAAAAGTTCCTGGTGGCATGTATATATATATAAAAACAAATTAGTCAACTATTAATTTATAGCAGACATATGAATTTAAGATATTTTTAAACATTTTGAACAAACAGATAATTAATAAAAACTTTTAGTTACAAATTACAAAATAAAAAGTCGTGTTGTTCCACTTTGGAACCCATTGTCTCGTCAACTTTCACCGGTTCCCTCCTCTAACCGAAGTTCGTCTTTTGAAATGTAAATTTTTTTTCATAAAGGTGATAACGGTAATTTTTATATTATAATATCTATAAATGGAGGTTAAATAGATTATTTAAAAAAATTATAATGATAATTATCATACCATATTTATTTAAAAAATATATATTTAAATATCTTAATAAATATGTTATAAATATTTTTTTAGTTAAAAAAGTTTTTTTAAATAAAAATATTTTTATTTATAATAAATTAGTCCAAAACTGTAATAATTTCAACTAGTAAAAAATAAATCTTTATTATTTAACGTTAAGAGTGATGGCTTTATAGTAACAGATGTGGTGAAACTTTACAGTTACTTCGAACAAGCCTTGATGATTCGTAGATTTTAAATGGTTTCTAATTATTAAGAAAATAAACGTCAAATATTTTTCTATTAATATTCAAATCGTACGGCTCACGGCGCACATTCTCATGTAACGAGCGGAGACAGGATAAAGACTTTAAAAAAAAACAATTTACAACCCATTGAGACCTTGGTACCTGCCAACGATACTGCAAGTGGAATGCCGACAAGAGAATATTTATTTACAAGAAATGACTGCATAAGATAACTATGTGTTTGCCATCGACCGCTGAGCAAACAGTTTAATGTCTTTCTCTTTAATACCGGGATACATGGCGGTATTGTGTAGTCAGCATCCATTATGGCACTTTTTAAATTATTTACCGTCTGGTATGAGGATATTAAAAGGTATCCGTTTATTCATGATTTACTGAATGTTATTCACACTCTTGTAGCACAACAGCTATATAGCATGTGTAAATATGACGTCAATCATTGTGTAATCACTTAGGTAATACATGGTACATGCTAAAACGAATAAAAACAAAATTAAAATAATAGTAATAATAATGTCCCTTTTATGTTAAAACACATGAAAATGGCAGATCTACTTATTGTACTTTTGTCAGGACGGAATACGCAAAAGCGGACCGAGTTTTCTGAGAAGAGATATTAAAATAAGGACAAGCGACTGTGTTTTGAGGATAACGAAAAAGCAGAAACCGTTGGAACAGGTTAGAGTCTTGCCCATATATGGCAGAAACTGGCAGAACCCACTACCAGTATACTGTGTGCTGCCACTGCTTCTATCTTGTTGCTCTCGTATGATTAGTAATATATTGTAATTGTGAAAGTATAACCGATTCCACGTTGATATTATAATATCTTCCAATGAGTATAACAAAAATTCATGATATCAAAAAATAATATAAATAAATAAGAGCTATAAACTAAAATATAAACATAATACTTATAAGAAACATAAAAGTCACCCAAAAAAAATTAAATATATAAAAAGTAAAAATACAATACATGATACGATATTATTAGATTGGTGTACTATGGTATACTATGAAAATATAATAAACAAGTGATTTCTGAATTTGATAGTTTTTATTGTAATAATTTACTGATATATATGTATATATCATGTATATATGTATGCATCAACCATATATTTATTTCTAATCAAGGATTGATGGTTGACAGTAGTGAATAATTGAAGAGTAGTTGGTTGGTGGATGAGAACAACAATAACAATAGGTATGAGAAAGTATTATTTTCTTTTGACTGCTAGTAGTTTCCCATAACTATTGTTATCTTGTCTTTTCTTAGCCCTGATGAAGCCCTGAACTTTAGGCTGAAACGTCGTCAAAACTAAAACTAATTATCATTGATATATTTTTACTTTGTTTTTTGACTGAACAACCCAACAAACTTCTCTTCAATATATTTTTTCTTTTCTTTAAAATACATTATTTGGTTGATCAGCAGTAAAGTTCTTACTAAATTGAATGGTGCTGTCTTATATCTAGGATTTAGAATATGTTTTTATATTTAGCTAAACAAGTGACAGCTTAAATTATGTAACATTTGTATGTGCTTATTTTATACATATATAGTATATATATATATATATGTTATTTTCCATACGTGGCACAAAATTTTCTTTGATTTACCTTCAATAATATTTATTATAATAATAATATTAAATAAACCATTTCATTTATTAATATATTTATTTTTTCTAATAAAGTTTATGTATTGTTTCTGTTAAGTAACGTTAGATTTATTTCTACATTTAAATATATTTGGATAGTGTATGCACATTTCTTGTGAATTTTACACCTGTTCTGCAGCGTTACTACAAGGGGAAATATATGAGTGTGTATATATATATATATATATATATATATATATATATATATATATATATGTATGTATGTATTAGTCAGGATACTAAAGTAGGACAGAGGAACAAGATATATGATTAAGACATAAATCCACCAGAATAGAGGCTACGGCAGGCCAAACTATAAACAAGGCTCGAGGCCACCTATCCATTTATCCTACGCTGTTTTTTGTTCTTCTTATAAAAGTTTTTTCACTTGAGGTGCCAGTGAGGTCCGCTATCCGATCTAAGGAAGGCTATTGATTTAAGGCCCTAGCCTCCAGGCGATAACATCTCATATCCAACCAGATTGAGCAGGTATCAATTCCTGTCCAGAGGATGTTCTGTAGATGTCGCAGAAGGGAGAGCTGTTCAGTCCACTAGATTCGGCGGGATCTGTAGGCAAGTTCTTGCACAATACTGCACTAATCCTTGCGCAAGAGGACCGACTCAGGTTGTGCATTTGGGAAGAGCCACTAGCGGATCCAGGATTTAATTTTGGAGGGGAGGAGCTTCAGCCCGAAAGCCTCCTCCCCCCGTAGATCCGCCCGTGGGAAGAGCTGATGTACTGTATGTATCCTTTAGGTTGAAAGACGCAAAGTAATAAATATCACTATCCATATAATAATTTCAGAAAATTATATTCATTCAGTTAATATATAAAATTTAAATTAAGTATTTACATAGTCAAGATTTTTAAGAAAGAAAACTATCAGAAAATTGAATTTATAATTTATATATCTATTTTAAGTTGTTTTGTAACTAATTTAATTTAATTAAATACAGAATTTTGGAAGATGCTATAAAAGATAAGTCATTAAAAAAAATTAGGTAATAAAATCAGGTATGCACTGGTAAGTTTAACGTGAAGATATTGGAAAGTAATAGTTCTACTACACATTGTCCTGAGGAATTCCGGTTTTAAAACTTTTTATACAAGATAATTCGTTACATATTTAAATAATGAAGTTTCCTACGAATAAAAAATCAATATTAAATAAAAAGTCTGAGGAACCTGAAGTATAATACACTGATACAGCATAAAAGCTTACCTGACGTCGATTTGTTGGGCTATCAGGTAAAATGATATACTAGTAAAAATGATCGAAATGATAAGTAACGATCATTTGAGTACAAATGCGTAAGTTTATTGAAAGAAGCCAAAATATAACATTTTAGAAAACTAAATCAATAAGCACGATGAATTTACACATTGGTATAAAAGAGTTTTAAGTAAATGATGTGATTGCATATTCTCCAGCCCTGCAGATTTCCCCTCAAATTCATGTATTAGGATATATTGCGATCTCAATGATTATAACTACTTCTTTTTTTCTTTTCTTTTTTACAGCATTTACGAAAAAGATGAAAATTTACACTTATGCTTTCCATTATGTTTGTTTCCTAACTTATTTTGCAATTACTGCAGTTGTTTATGTATTCTGAAGACTAAAGGCCATCTTCACGGAACCGATGGAACGGATTCAGATTCGGAAACAGTTTCTGAGTACTGACTGACTTCATTATTCAAATGAGCAATTAAATGGAAAACTGTTGATGTATGGTGGCAGGCCTGCAGGGTTGCAAGGTGAGCGGCATTCCACAGCCTGGGATATACAAGAAAATAAGAGGAAATTCACATCTTGCATAACAACAACCTGCGACCCACATGAAAAATAATCGCAAGTTTAACTCAAGTTTCAAAACAAAATAATACATTATTAAAGAACTAAACAAACCACGCTATATTGATCAGTTCTTGCAATAAACACATTTTTAAAATTTAATCCATGTCATACTTAAGAAAAACCAGAAAAGAAACGATAAAGTAATACGCCAATCCAGATAAATAGTTAAATAATAGACATGAAATATGAAAAAAAAAGAGAAAGGTGAAGTGGGCTTTTTAGCTACAAGAAAATAGCTAAGGAAGAAAAAATGTCTATAATTTTCGATAGTAACGAATTAATTAAAGGTATTGTAATTTTCAGACACCGAATCTGGAGGAATATAATAATAATAATAAGGCTTAGCGAACCCGAAGGTTCAATGCCGATACCACCAATCGATATCCACATTCTTCCATCCACCGATCTCCGTCTAAACCCAACCCCGCCAAATCAACCTTAATGCTATATTCTCACCTTCGCTTTGGTCTACCCCTCGGACACTTGCTACGGTACAGCACATATTAACTTTTTAGGAATTCTTTCTTTACTAAGCTCAGCTATTTTATATGCCCATTTTATTCGCCTGAACTTGATTCATCATCTCATTTATATTAACTGAATACAGTTCACGCAATTCAGCAATTTGTAATCATCTAAATTCTCCGGTTGTCTCGTCCTTTTTCAAGATTCTGAAGATTCTAAAAGATTTGAAACCAATTATTTTTATTTTACAACTCCAACCTAAAAAAACAGTGTCCTATATATGTGGCAGTCGATGGATGGAAGTAAGTTAACAGGCGTTGGTAGTATAGGCATTGTTGTTTAAAATATAACTCTAAAAAAATTCTTATTAAAAATCATTCAATATTTTTGTTTTTAGATTCCACTGGATCAAAGATTCATCGATTAAATTAATCATTCGAGAGGTAAAAACTCAGTATAATTTAGAAATGACAGGATTTGAGTAGGAGGGAACCGTATTATAGCCAAGGAGAGCAGGTCCCGAGCAGTCTGTGGGATAGTCCTGGGGAGGGTACGTCATCGAGCAAACAAGGATGTTGGTCATACTGAAGAGGTGGATGTGGATGATTCTTTGGGCCAAGACAGACAAATCTATACTCGTTTTGATTATTGATAAATCTCCAATAATCTTTTGAATGCACATCTTCACCCTTTCTTATCAGTAAACATTTATTAAATATCACAGATTTTTAGCCTGACAGTCGAGATGTTTTGCCTATCCTATAATCCTAGAATTTTTTAAGTGGATATGTGTAAATCTTATAAAGAGACTCATTTATGGTATTGAAATGTTTCTTATATTTACTCTATATTTAGATGCAGGTTTGTATTGCCAACCAATTTTCTTAATTTTAATGCCTGACTTATATTTTCAAACTAATCTTTAAAAGCGATGAATTTCGAGTTTTCCTATTTTTTTTTTCATTCATTCATGAAAAATATATGTAGGAAAACTAGTAATGAAATATTTCCCGCCTATTGATTATTAACCTATAAACGTGTCTTCAAGTAGAAAAAGGTTAGGGACACCTGCTGTAGTGGTTTCCACCAAAACTGCAAAAATGGTTTTTTGAATTGTCGCGCTTTATATACTTATATATTTAAAAATCTGGAACAAAAACCAAAAATAAAGGTTACAGATGGTATCTTAATTATAAATAGGTTAGAGTTGGTAAGTTCAAAAAAATAATAGACGATCTATAATGTTGTGGCGGAACAATGACGCACTATAAAATCAATCAATTAAAAAAATAAATTCTGAATCAGCTGCTGATACATATGATACATATCATATCATACTATCCATGGTTAAAAATAAGATAAGAGAACAACGGTGGTCCCTTATTACCACTAACAGAGTAGCAATTAATATAACACCTCCACAGACGCTCAACGCTTCAACTAATGATAGGTCCCGGCTCTCAGCTGTCATATCTTACATCTAGACGAGTCTATGATTGGGGAAGAATAGTATTTTGTAGCAGATTGCATCTTTAGGATATAGCAACGATTTCAACAATAAAATATTTCCCTGTTGAATAAGTATCCGCTATTTGTCGTTAAGAGTTGCATATCGCATCGCAAAGACTGGTGATTAAGTCATATTCCATTTTTTAGTTTAGTTTTTTTTATGAATTTGTAATATTTTATGATTAACTCAAGTGTTTAAGTCTTTGCCTGCATTTACAGATATGAAATTGTCACAAATATATATATATCAATAATGCTTCTACAGTCAATAAGTATATACCAAGGCAATTACTCATAGTTATTTATATTCAGATTAAAACTAAAAAAAATCACATTAAGGCATTAAATATTTGTGTAATATTCATCTTCAAGGCATTGTAAAGTAAAATTTATAAAAATAATAGATAACAATAGTGGTGTTATAATCCATCGATGGATACATATGCATTTTTTTGCTTCATTTCATACAATTTTTTTAAAATGATTATCTTTAGCAAATAATGTGTATTATTTTTTTTTTATTAACAAATGTCAACTTTCGAAGAAAAAATGTAATATAATAAGAAAAGGAGAAGAATATAAACTTCATGGAGCTAAATATTTAGTATGTGAAAAATCTACAATTAAAGATACCTATCATTTGTAAATTTTGTTTTCCCACTAAAAACATTTAATAACAACCAACTTTAACAATTAAACTAGAATTGAATTTCATATGTATCATGTTCACATTATTCCTTTCTTTTTTTTCCGGTTACCTTTTACCTCGCTATTTTTTGGCAGACAGGAGTGTCGTTCTATAGGTACAATAAAACTTATTTAAACGCCAGTGAAAAAATGGGGTTTCATTCCGTGGGTCCACCAAGTATTAATGATGTTTCAATGCCTCGGTCATTAAGATCCAATGGTGAGGAACTGTAATATTTTTTTTTTTTTTTTTCCTTACAAATAAAAAAATATCAACTTACACCTTTATTTACTCCTGGGAAGTACGCCTTTCTTCCCCCCTCTCTCCTCCAAATGTATTATATGAACGAATCCGTTGGTGAAGTGCTTGCAGATAAACTTGGCTAAAGGTGCAGACCATTTACTTGTTACCTCATATCGCGACACAGTAGGCCAAAGCAGAGGCGTCATCGTGGTAGAGTTCCGTTTTAGAGAAAGCTCTCGATGTGGTAAGTTCGCCTACATACGCCCACTGTTGCCATTGTTCCCGAATGATTAACTATTTCTCCAAAATCGATTCGATGACGTCTGTGCTGCCGACCGGATGTCGCACAGCGTCGATTGGCACCACTATTGAAATGATTTCTCGGAATGATTTATCGAACTCTTCCCTTACATCGACTAATTGGAAACAATTTATAATTAAATAAGTGAATAAGATACACCGACCATCAATTTTGAAATTCTACTTGAAAATCGTGTATGCATTACTATTTAGCACATCAGCATTTGATGACTAAATATGCAGAATATATTTGTCTCTAATAGTTAGAAAATAATAACAGCTTCGTTTCGTAATTTTACTTCACTAGTTAAATACAGCAGGGTTCTAAAAAAAGAAGTACAGATAAAGAAGAAGGTACAGCTACTGTTTGCCGACAAAGTACTTTCACGATGTACCGACCTGATGCAGCGGCTACCATCAGGACAGGAGCTGCCGCTAAGTACCAGATGGATCCGATACCCCAATGGCTATCTAAAGTGAACTTGTGTAAGTGCTACCTGTTTCTGGTAACAGCAGTCCATCAACAGCTGCCACCGCCGCGACACGGAGGAAATGCAAATCAGTACACCTTGACAAGTCGTTGGTAACTTCCTGGAATACGCCCACACAAGTCAAGGCAATGTCGGTGGAATATTAATTCGATAGTAAAGGAAATTACTTGTAAACGATCGGAGCGCATGAATCACGTGTTTTTCATTTATTAGAACAATATTTACACTTCATGCATATTCAAGCATTTAGTCTTTTGAAATGTTCCCAAAATATTATGAAATTTATTTTTTATTGGAATATCACCAACTGCCACAACCACAAGCAAGGTTTACAACTCTCTATGTATTTGATAACTTAAAATAAGTTAAATTTTATTTTGCCGATCACGTCCAATTCATTTGTTCTGATCCTTAATAGAGAATCATCCAATAACCATGTATTCAAATTAATTGATCGAGTAGTCTCAATTACGAATTTATACGAGGATTGAGACCGCTATTTGTATATAATCTATTGAGGGAAGGAATGTGTGGGTTCCCTTCACTACATAAAAAGGAAAAACCTTCGGAGTCCATTAAGAATTCGTTCTAGCATGAGAAGGAGCGGGAGGATGAGAGCGAGACAGAGCCAAACACTTTTACCAAAATGATTCGATGTGGAACAGAGGCCGGGAACGGCTCAAGTTCCCACCATTCAGAAGGTCTCCGGCCGATGGCGTAGGCTCAGAGGCATGATATGCATTTTCTGATCAGCTTAGCTTGGTGAGCTGATGCATTTGGGTAATGTAGTTGTGAGAACCAAAATGGCTAGAGATTTGCCTATAATTTAAAAAATATATAATTCACTGAAACAAAACTAGGTAAAACTTGAGTTAAATTGATTACCTCATGTAAAAGCATTCAATAGTCTGAAAGAAAAAGAAAACATGTATTATTAATGCATCGTTTTCTTATATTTTGCGCCCCTCTTACTCTTAAGGAACTTTTTCTTTATGATTATCCCTCATTAATATTTTCTTCATGAGAAATTTTATTAAGATAATTAGTTTTTATGGTACTTATTACTCCTGTTCACTACATTATTCTCATTTCGCTATAATGTATCTTATTTTTATCTTTACGCTTTCGTGATTTAATAGTGACTTTTTAACAATTAGTGAATAAATAGACATACCAAGGATATGGCAATAGATAAACTCAAGCAGGATAATACTGTCAAGAAATTAGAGGTTGATTAATGTTACATCAACTTACTTTTCACCATTAGCATATTAATTTTTTACACGGATGCAGGAGACAGACACTAACCAAATTTGTTAAAACATAAATTCATTTAACAGTCAGTTTGATAGGAGTGAGTCCGTTTGTCGACTGTGGAAATGTGCAACTCTGGATGTCGTATCATTAATAAAACAAAATACATGCTTCAGGTGTGATTAGGATATCATCTATAATTGAATTACTATATATTTAAAACTCTTCAATGCACAGTGGGACGAGTGGGGAAAAACTCTTAACATCGGCTAAATCTTTTTTTTTTTTAGAACTAAAAAAAATAAATAAATATACTGTTTTCTTGATACCTTCTGGAATTCGTGAGAATATTTTCAGTTGGCAGAATAGACATTTTTCATTGTTTTTAAGGAATAGTTCAATTTTTAAAAAATTAATTGGATTTAGCTGATGTCCCTTACTGGTCCCAATGTGCAACGGGGCGCTTCAATATTATAGATTTAATACTTTTCTTATACGACTTATATGTTGGGTTCAATATAATTTTATAATCAAATTAAAGTCCAACGTACTTACTTTATAAGGTGTGTTCTGGCAATTATTATGATGTCAAGGTAAATTTTTGTAGCGGAAACGAAATAAGGCGGGTCTGAGAAATAGAGAATTCACCCTCCTCGTATGGTTTCCAAGTGATGAAAAAAAATGGTTGGAATATTTTTTTTTTAATGCCAATATTACACTTAGGTAAAACTTAATGAATAGTGTCGATTCTCAAAACAACAAAAAAATCGAAAATTAAAACTAGAATTAAAATAATTGAAAGGCATTTGAAAAAATGTTGTGAATTTTTTTTAAAATAACTAGTCAAAAATTCTACCGAATATCGGTTTGATGTATCAATATTTTGATTCTGTTCAAGTTTCGTAGAATAGTAAACATTCTCATTATTCAAATTTCGTGTCCATGACTGTAGAAGAGATGGAAGAAATATTTTAATGAAGGTTGAGTCTAACTGCATATTGTTCACCGTTAGTATATGTTATGTAGGTATCGTAAGGCAAGTGAAATTTATGTTGAATCTTGGAGATATGTAATAATGGAGTGTTTCAGTAAAAGCGTCGATGCTGACGTCTCTAAATATCTTTATTGTTACCGTTATCTAAAAGTTATTCCCTTATTTCATACAGGGCAGAATTATATATACCCATCGCCGCGGACTACAATTACACTAATTGCACAAACATACGGAGGCAGTTGAGGAACAGACGGAGGCTTGTAGAGAGGAAGCTCTTGCTTGGTCACGGATGGAAGCTATGTCGGTTCCGAACCATTACCAAACCACTGCCTTCCCAGCCTTATACACTTCCCAACCAAGTCACTAACTGGTATTGTAATTACAGTTCTTTAACTCTGTCTAATAGGTATCCAGTTATATATTATTGTTAAAGCTGATAAAGAACAATGAGAACCATAACCTATCATTAAAGACTGCATCAATAAATCATTATAGTATATTTTGTGTAAGGGATTATATATACAAAAAAAAAGACATTGATTTAAAGTTATTCTGATCTATATTATTAAACTGTTATTCTGATATGTGGAAAAATGATAACATGTACGAAATGTAACATGTACGAGTTTTTAGTACCTTATTAAATAGAGAAACTTTGTCGATATCCAGATTAAAAACATTCAATTCCAACAGTTTTCGTAAATAAAATAGTTGTAGGTTAGGATGAAATGAAGATATTCACGAAGTTTCAGGTAGATGTTAATAATTTGATAAAAAGGGGTCTGTACAACGAACTAAATGTTCTAGCCAATATATTAACCTAGTTACTAACAAATGATTTTCCTCGGGAAAACTGCACGGAAGTTTATATAAAAGTTTATAAACGGCATCCCATGTTTAAAATGGTTCTCAAGCTTCATTGAACACACTTGTTTCCGTCTTATGGGGGATAATATTGTTTCTAAGTTTGTTAAATTGATCTTCTTCCTCAAGAATAGAACAGGTCGTTAAACTTTGAGTTTCTTCGTTTTATTTTACTTCTGTTTTTGGAGGTCTATTGTTGGCCAATGTGATATAGAGGGGCGCCAAAATAGACATTTCTTTCAGGGTGTGAAATGTTTTTTAAGAAGAGGTTTAGATTATTGTGTTTGGAAGAGAGCTAAAAACAATAACAATAAAGACTAGATTTTTAAAGCGAAATCGATTAAATTTTGTTTGTGTTGTAATAAAATAATGGTAAGGTTAGTGCAAGAAACAAGAAATGTAAAACATAATTGTTTTGAGTATGAAACGAATACAATTTTTGTATATCGTGGTTTGAAGACACTATGAAATGTAACTGAGCCAAGAAGACTTTTGCCAGAGTATGAAGGTCAATTTATTTCGTGGTTACAATTGAAAAAAATCGAAAATACCACCCAAATACGTTTGTCCACTATAATCCCTGATATATATTTTTAATTAATAATAAAAAAAAATATATTTAAAAATTCCTTTTACATCCAAATAATTATATTTGCTCAAAATATTTCAATAAAATAAATATTTAAATTTTTTTTTTCTTTATTTGCAAAAAGTAAAAGGGCTATTAAATAAATGCTGTTTATTTTTGAAAAAATAACATTTGTATCAATATAAAATTGAAATTTATGACCACATCGTAGTTACCTTCTAAAAAAAATTCCTGATGTTTCACAATAAAAAACTTAAAAAAAACTGGCGCCAACAGCTTTCATAATAGGAGGAGACACAAGGTGCGGTTATGCCAATTAATAAATACGAAGTAGGACTTTTTTAAATAAGAAGTTAGTTAAAACTGGTTAGAAATATAGAAATATGGGCCGACGTGTTCCGGCCTATATATCTGACGGACGGGCACAGACTAAATATATCTTGGAGTTGATATCTATAATCAGAAAAAGTAATTATAACGTGGATCAATTAGAGACCCAAGAACGAGTGCTAATTCAGTTTTTATTCCTTCCGTAAAATATACTGTTACTACTTAATCATCATGTGCCAAGAACCGTTATATAGAAAGTCTGGATGTATAAAATAATTATTTACCCATAACTGTTTCTGTGATCATTAAATTATTAAAAAAAAAAAAAAAACTACTGGCATAGTTAAAAGAAATATTATATTATCATTTGTATCCAAATAATTTACCGTTCGGTTAAAGCGTGATATTAGGGACCGTAGCAGTTGTCACTGTTGAATGAGAAGCTGCTGGGGAATCTCATTTATTTCAAAATATGAAACAGACGAAAGAAAAATGATGTAGGAGGACTAATTCTTGTAATTTAGCCAAAAAATAAAAATATTTTATTATTGGTCAACATATTGAAATATAAGAAACATAAATGCATCTTATCCAGACACGAGTCTAAAAAAATATACCGATATAAACATTATAACAAAATAATTTTTAAAAATTAATATAATTATAGTTTTTATTCACATGGTATTCTTCAAAGAATCAAAAGAACTTAAAAAGAATCACAATGATAATAAAATTTCATTAACATAAAAATTTGAAGATGACAATAGTGTGTAATAAAACATTAAAATGTTTAGTAATATAAATTCATAAAAAAAAATTCCATTTAAATGTTTTAGTAGAAATCATCAGGTAGTTATTAGAAGTTGAAATACGTTGCTTAAAATGGAAAGAAAATAATTTGAATTTTGTTAGGTAAAGCGTGATGTATTATTTGTGAAAATAATGAATAACTCGAAACTCATTTCATTTGATATAAAATATTTAAGCACATTGAAACCGTAATTGAAAATTTGAAAAAAGTTACAAGATTGGCCTTAAAAGCTTAAAAATGGCACTATACTGATTAAAATGTCACATCAATGCAATTGTCACTGAGGTATTTGTGTAATGGAATTTGTGAATTGACGTAGTTGAGCGGAATCTCCACTTAATTATCGCCTCTGATATATTAAAATCGAATGAATCATGACTTGATCCAGCAATGGGTTGCCTCAGAAACAGAAACAAAACCTGCGTAATCATACGTAAATATTTCTGATCGAAAAAAATTATATCCCTTTCGAAAATAACAGGACCGGAAACAATTAAAGCTAACAAATGCCTTTAGAATTAAAATAAAAACCAATACAGGACTCCCGATGCCGACATTACCAGACTTATGTAATATGGAAACTTATTTATTTATTATCAAAGACCCGAGCCTTTTACTCTGTTTCGAAAGGAGCCGTTCAAAAGAAACGGAGTGAAACCTAAATGTTATGATTTGGGTGGCTGCGTGTAGGCGGACGGTCTGTCGTAGATAAGAAAGTCAGGTGACAGTTCTCTGTCCCTCGGCTATTCTCAAGTGGGAGCACAACTTTTAAGTAGGGCACCGAGAATACTCAATAAAGTTGAAGGACCTTCCTATCCGACGCGTCGCGACTTCAAAAGGATCAAATAATGATTCAGTACATGCATAGTACAGAGGTGAGGAAGCTTTTCATCATTAGAAGACGCAGGAAGGTTAAGGCAGTGCTAAAGGAGGCGCAACATTTTTTTATATTTTACTGTTCCACTTTGTATTTATCACATAACCCTCTTCTAAGCGAAACCATCATCGGCCCCTTCTTTTTGCCGCCTAGGCTATCAGGTATGTCTTACTTACATTTTTTGCAAAATAATCTTTATGAACTCCTAGAAGATACTCCGCTAGACATTAGGTATTGCGGTGCTCCAGCTCACTTTTCTAATAGTGTCACTGATTATTTAAATGCAACTTACGGAGACCGATGGGTTGGTCGAAACAGACCTTCAACGCCATTAGATTATTTTATGTGGGGCTAGATGAAGTCTATGGTTTATTCTGCGGCAGTTGGCACACAAGAAGAGCTAAGAAATCGGATCGTGGAAACCGCAGTAACTATCAAGTACCATCCTGATGCTATGCGAAGAGCCAGAGAAGCATGGATTCGTCGTGCTGAATATTGCATTCAACAAAACGGAAGCCCCTTTGAACAGTTACTCTAAATGTTGTAATAATAATAAATAAATAGTAAGAATTAATAATAAATCTGTAACCTTTGATATCTGTTTAATAAATGAGTTTGAGATGTTAATATGAACATTTAAGGTTTATTTTGTGTTATGAACACATACCTAAAATAGTGCGGTGATATCACAAAACACCCTGTATATATATATATATATATATATATATATAATAATGATTTTATTGCGACAATCAACGGACTACGTAACTATTGAGGGAGTATAATAGTTATTTGATCAACGGTATATAAGGAGGTGATCTAGCTAGTACCATGGTAAACCACATCCTTTTTCCTCCCTCTCTCCAATATAATAAAGGATCAGGTATCCATTATTCTCCTGTAACAGAAACATAAACACACTTTTCTCTCCTATCTACTCCTATTTACATCACAATCTATTCGCTGTTCCTGGTTGTCTGTTCTGACAGATGTTCATAAATTTATAAAAATGTATAATAAATGGAAAAATGATGTTTGTCTCATACCTAATTTCGATTAGTTCAAACTTAATTATAACAATTCTATGTATTTGTATATTATATATTAACTTTTATCAAAGAGCATTGGAGACAAGTCAATCCGATATGTGCTTCTAAGAGCATGTCCTTAAGGCGGTGCTGCTGCTGAACTTCTGAAGTTTAGGGGTTGGTATATAAATAATCTACAGATCCAGAGAGAGATATCTATACACAGACACTTCTTCAGGCTGAGGTAACAGTAATTAATATTTTTGCGCAAACTCTAATCAAAGTTGTTACTCATTGTTAATCTCAATATTCACAGACAGCCAAGCCGCCATCTTAGTCTTGGGTGGCTATGCAATCCGCTCTAAGTTAGTACTAATACCACCGTCTGTGGTATTAGCCTCACCCATGCAAAATTAAGATAGTATTAATAAATGAGGCTAAGGTCCATTGGAAAAACAGATAGACTTCAAGGTGGTTGTAGAATTTTTTTGTATAAAGAAGGATGATATTTCTACTAACGGGCAGAGCTATTTCAATGAGTACGCTATGGTTGTATAATTATCAAATCTTCTTTTTTTTGGAGGTTGAATGAGAACCCGATCTGGTGGGTCTGCAGTATAGAAGACGAAACTGCTTATGACATAATATGTAGTTCTGATACTCGAGATGGAATGGAGCATTTACATTTTGATTCATAGATGTTAAGCTCTACTGCTCAGTGATCGGATTGGCCTCTAGAAATAAATACAGGTTCGTAAAAGACGAGGCCTGTTTTAACCGGATACAGGACGGGATACAATAGACCATAGGTGGGGAATATTTTGATCATTAGAGGCCGCAGTAAGGTTAGGCAGTGCAAATGGAGGCCGCAACAATTCTTTATATTTCACTGTTGCTGTTTTTATGTACTGTTAATTACGTACATACATTCAACTTAATTCCGCTGATTTCCAAATTGTCGTTACATAAATAATTAAATATCAATTAATATAGGGAAAAACGTTTGAAGGGTACTTTCCCCACCTAAGCAGTCGATCTATGAGACCACACTGCCTCATATGAGGGAAAAATAAAATAGAATACGCCTAATATTTACATTGTCTTTGCAACAAAACTGCACAGGAAGACAGTGTTTGAACCTCATTAGGATGCAGGTGTGAATTGTTGAGTAATGGAATGCAAACTGATGTTTCTAAGTAGAATATCTTATTCATGCAATTATACAAGAAAGCTCTTGTGGCAGGAAATAACTAAATAGCTATTTGTAATATTCAATAGGACAAACCAGTCAGCAACATATTGCTTAAGCCATTTACCATATTTATTTTTAATTAAAAAAACTAACAGGCCGTAAATAAATATCAATAATATTAATTAGCAGTTAGAATTGAAATAAAATATGACCTGTTTAAAATTATAAACTTAAGAAAATAATACTGAAGGGTCTAATTCGATGACAGGTTTCATTACAATATGCATACCGATTTGATCATTTCTTTTAAGATTCTCTATTTTAACATTATATAAAGGTTGTATCAAATTATTTATGAAGTAAGGAGAAATAAAAACCTCATTACTAATCTCATAAACCTAATAAAATTGCATGAAGAGGTATTAATTACAAACAATTGAAGATCCAATTAAGCACATTAACACTTTTATAAGGCCATAGTGGTTGAGTGTCTTAAATCGGAGCCTCCTTTAACATTCTCAAGTCTAGCGACGTCAGCTAGAATCCGGCTTGGGAATGTTGAATATTGATTGATAATAATAAAAGCTAATTGAACTGGGAGGTGGTTTGATGCTTAATTACATCAATTATGTATAAATTTGGCTTATCCTTTTTCGGTTCAAATTTTCTTTACAATACTTTGTTTTCAAAAACCTTAAAACACTGCCCATCTCTTGATGCATACCGCCGCGTCTCTCAACCGTAAAGTTTTGGAACATAAGACGCGATTTAAGTAAAATATTGAATAGTAAATATCAAAATAAAATTGAACAGAATCATAGAAGTAAATTATTTTAAAACTCCTACAATTATGTTTAATACATAGAAAAAAAACGTTTCAAGATAGCAGAGAATCTATTTTAAAGACAAAGAAATAAATCTCACTAATGTAAAGTGGTTTGGATTGCGTAAGCTCTAAAATTGTCACTGTTTGGTAATAGGGTAAGAGGATGAACACAATAACTTTCCATTCCGAAGCCGGACAACTCTCTACGAGGATAAATCGATTCCAATTAGAGTCGATCCCCGAAGTCCTACCTGGAACACAGAGCCATCGGACGATAATCGAGTATTTACAGAGGATGTTAGGCAATGAGATCGACCACCTGGTTCTTGATTCGGCAGGATTGCTGACTATTTACAGGCCGGCTCTGCCCAATAGCGACGGACTAATCAACTCCTTGATGGAGGATATGGAGAGTACTATCTGGGGTTTCGCCACTGACCCAAATCGCGTCGATTACGGTCTGTTTTCGAGGCGCCAAGGGTCATCATCAACGTCTGCGGTGTGTCCTCTTTGGATTGGGATGGCAAGGGTGTGATAAATGAATAAAATTTGATTGAAACATATGACGATATTCAGAAATCCATACACCCAAAAAATCCATATGTTGACAAGAGGCGTGCAAGAGTTTAAGTAAAGCGTATGGACACCATATTTGTAAGGGCGACCCTTAAATACGAAAATTAAAAATTGACCCGGGGTATCCTTTTATTTTGATCCATAATATGAAAGAAAATCAAATAAAAATTATAAATTTTTAGGCGCCGCTACTGAGCTTTGAATTTTATATGTTTCAATAAATTTAAATTATACTTATCAAAATTATTGTTTGTTTGGTTGACGATATTCCTCAAGAGTCAAGAGAAAAGTGAAAAATACTTTAAAATATAACAAGAACTACTGAAACGAGCACTAACATTTTTGAAAATAACCTATTTAATTTAGTTTCTACTAACACTAGAAGGTTTTTCATATTCCTAAATCTACCATTAGAGTTAATGCCAAGAGATGAAGCTGCCTAAAAAAAACTAAATAAATAACTAGGCAATAACAACTTCACATTAATTAATTTGTAAATGGACGTTGGTAGGGGGTCGGAGTGGCCGAGCAGGCTAACGCGTGTGCAGTTTCCCTGCAACCTAATGGATAATTTGATAAAATAATTTCTAGTTCGCGTCCCAGTCTCGGGGGAGGGGAGAAAGAAGGACTTTTAACTCTGGCATTAACCCTCAACCACTAGCCACAAAATCAAGTACGAAATACGAAGAAGGGGAGGACAAAAAAAAAAAAAAATAAATAATAATGACGTTGGCAAACGTTCGGTTGCACTGATGGAAAAATACAACACAGAATATACAAAATATGAAGAATAAACACAGTTCTTATCACTATCAGTTATGAAACTCTGACACAAATATCCTGACTCCTTTTCCAGCGGCTCATAATCATAGGGTGCCCCAAAGAAAATTATTACGTATTTTTTTACTTCGTGTTAATTATATTTTTGTAATCACAAGATTTTAGATGGCATAATATAAATACAATTTATAGAGGATACTTTGGATAGATTGATTTGTCACAAAATAAGGAACAGGTAGCACAGGAACTTCGGTTCCGTGATAATTTAATAGTTTTAAATCTGCTAAAAATAGGCAATCTGAGGAAATTGTTGAATTTAGTTCGGAAAAAGTTGAATTTGATTTGAACAAACAATTAACGCCGTATTTATTGTTTAGTTTTCAGTTTTGACGTTGTATATATATAGAAATTTATGTAAGTAGTTTATGGTTTTCCTTTTATGTTTAAAAACTCTTCTATTAAACCTGTGACCATGTCCTATAATATAATCTATAATCTATGATTATATTATCTTGAACACCCTCAGTGCCTAAACCACGCCCTGAAGATGACCCACTTATTTGGGTTGAAACGTTGGCATAAATAAAAAATTAATTTCTTTTTTTTTTTAAAAAGACTGCATCCTGATTATTTATCACCTATAATCTATGTATTGAAAGCGTCACATTAAAGTGTTAAGAAACACAATTACTCTAATTTTGTAATGTTTCATTCAAATGTATGTTGGGACATGATAATTCATGACAAATATTATGAGGAAATTCTCCATATTTAAATATATTTTTCCAGAATACAGAAGTACATACTTGTGGAATTTGAGAAATTATTAAACAAATCAAAGCCAAATAATTTTTTAAAACTCATAATACGGATCTAAATAAGAAGATTAGACCCAGTCTTTTTATGAATTGCCAGCGCTATATAATCCAGAATCTGATAATTTATTTCAAAAATATACAATTGATTCGAGATTACAAAATATTATTTATTTTTGTTGTTGAATAGAATGTCAGAGTTTGTTATCAAATAGAACGTCGGTGTTTGCTATCTGTTAAGGGGAATTAAAGCGAAGGGGCTGATACAGCGGGACGAAACAAAATCCGTCAAATCAGCAGTCAGCCTGCTCCGATAATATCCGAATATGAACAATCTTATGAAAAGATCTAGTCGAAATATTCTTATTAATTTTATTATTTCAGTTGTCCGGTGACCAGGAACGTCTAACGTACACATTCTTAGATATTAATGTAGTGATATAATCATTAACAATTATCAGTGGTTCATTAACAATGTAAAAAGAAGGAGTGCCATTGTACCAGTCAAGAAGACTATTTGTGAAATAAGTGGAGGGCATCGCCTTAATCCTAGATATTTCTAAAGGTTACGTAATCTGTTAGGCATTAGTTTTCCGCTAGCCTTGAAGTATGAAAATATATTTTACAGCAGGTTGTCTCCTTTAAAACTTGTCCTTCTGACTTTAAGAAATAAGCAGGATGCACAAGTGCATTTATAATCATTAACCATCATATATGTATTGTTGGGTTTTATAAACTTTTTTTTTACAGAGAGGGACTAAAAAAATATATTGTTTGCATAGTGAATTAAAAAAAAAAACACTAAAAATTACCTTAACAAGTTCTTATAGGAGAACATTCATAGCATTTTTGACAACATACCTGAAACAGAAATTAATCAAGTTAGCGTTGATTTAAACAAAAAATAAGCGCATAATATAGGATTAAAAAGAATATATAAGAATATTACAAATTAGTTGTCCAAAAAGATTTTTAATAAATTAATTAATATTCGAGATTTATATGGAAAAATAAAAAGACCAATCACTAAAAATGGGTTAGTTTTATACTGTCTAAATAAAACCACATCTCTAGAACTGAGTGGATGCTTGGCCCAAATAGAAACTAACTTCAATTAATTATCGGAGTACTCACTAGCTACAGCAGACACCAGAAGACATAAAAAGATTTAAGGAGAAGGGAGGGGAGGTTAGTAAGGGATGAAATATGGTTAAACCTACCATATGTGCTGGAAAGCAACAGAAACTACCTGCATATGCCGACTGATACATATGATACATATGCTTTGCTAAGATGTATTCTGGGTTTCGATGGAACTTAGACCAGAAGAGTTCTTCCCTTTTAATGCTCAGTTTTAAATTTCATTAGTAAAGGCAAGAGTCCCAATTGCCTGATTCGTCCCCCTTTTCTACCAGTACCAGTACCAGGTAAATAAAACACTTCAGCGAAAAACAATATTTTTAGATAAATTATTTTAGGTAAGAATTTTAATAGTTCTAGATTTCATAATTGAAAGGCACCACTTCAATTGGAAATTTTTTATTTTTGTTCCTTTAGTCTAATGTTTCGAGTTCCTGACCCATCTTCAAAGGCCATTTATTCTTCTAAACAACATAACAATTATTTCAAATGTGTTGTAAAGAATATTTTATTTAAATACACTCTATTTATATAACATTTTAATATACTTGGCCGTTGATATCTCATTTATTAAAAAAAATAACATCTTCAACATACATCTCATTTCTATGCGATGCCTGTAAACAATTTGTCAATTGTTTCAAATACAATTTAAGTAATTTTTTTTTTCCTTCTGATATTTGAGATGGATGTTTTTCACATACTTGATACAGCATATGAGACAAATATAAATTCACCTCAGATACTCTAGACAATACAAAAAATTCATTAAAATGCTATATAAATAGAATGCAGTTGTAGTGCTAAATAGAGTGCATATAAATATAAATAGTATTGATGCTTATATGAGATAATTGTTATTTTGCCTATAACAGAATAAATTGTCTTTGGAGATGGTTAAGAAACCCGAAACGTCAGACTAAAGGAACAAATATAAAAAATTACCAATGGAAGAGGTCCTTTTGAATTATAAAAACTAAATATTTTTAGATCTTTCACCCAGTGGTATAATTATTACACTGGGAACATATAGTTGTCTACTTTTAAATTCACTTCAATACGATTAAAAGTCCTTGCACTTTATTTATAGATATTGCAAACGATACTTAGGTAAGGTACGGGTAAAATTCCGAAAGAATTTATCAATTCAAATTGGTAATATTGTAATCAGCGTGTTCAAGCATACACATTTAGTGTAAATTATTCAATTTTATTAAAGAAGAATTATGAAATAAAATGAAAATACATTTTATTATTCCGGGACTGTTGTCCCTTTAGAAAAAATTATAAGTACAGATTGCATGTCTGTGTGGTCACAATTAAATTATATATTTACAATAAGAGTTAATTAAAAATAAAAATACAGAAGAAGAGAGATTAGTGATGCACAAATGCGAGACCGAGATGAGTCTTGGTCTTGCAAACTTAGTCTTGATCATGGTCTTGGTCTTGCGCAAGAGTCCCGAAACAGTCTTGCAGTTACTTATTAGCTTCTTACTGCAGAAATATTACTATAATTTTGTAGATAGGAGAAATATAACAAAGCCCGAATGAAAAAGTAGATGAGTTAAATACAAAATTATATTGGTTATAAAAATTATTAACATCTAGTAACTAAGATTGTCAAGTATTAATAACTATTTTGCCTTAATTATTATTTGAAAAATCAATTTGTTTTTAACAGTCCTGGTCTTGGTCTTGCAACAGTTAGGTGGCCTTGGTCTTGGTCTTTCACTTTGCAAGACCAAGACCGATTTTAGGCTACACTAAAAGAGATATACAAATAAAGATTATATATGATGTTCAAAATAAAGGGTTAGCGATTATTATTGATAATTAATATCTCTCCATCGTTGTTTCAGTATACTTGCACAAACGTTAAACCGTTCAGTGCTCATTATCTTTTTCGAGACCGGTTCATTATCCAGTTCAGTAACTCAACCAGCCGATCTCAACCGTCGCGATGCTAATACCTACTACAGACTGCAGGTCACGCAATGTCACGTTTTGTAGCCGTCTAAATTCTTCAGATGACTCATCCTTCTCCAAGCCAAATATTTTACGCAATATTTTTTAAAGCGGGTTTCCCTAAAAGTCACCTTTCGCATACGGTGTCTGAGAAGTCTTAGTCAAATGATTGAAGAAATGAGTAAGAAGATTGAGATGAATAGTCAAATAAACAACTACAATGGAATAAGTTGTAGATATTTTTTTTTCATTACTGTTGCTTACAGTGAACAAATAAATTTAAAATTATACAAAAATGTTTCAAGCAAGGGTAAAATAGTCGATAATGGAAATAATTACCGTATTTAATTTTCATGAAAATGTATGCTACCTGAATTTCTATACAATTAATATTCAAAAACATTAACGACTGAATTTTCTCTAGAATGAGAAGAGGTGGAGTTTTATTGCAAAATAAATTTGAAGCAAATCCATTTTAAACCAAACAATTGGAGATAAATTACCATGAGGATGTCAAAGCCAAGAGAAAAGTGCAATTTAAGAATCAAGTTTATTAGAGCTTTCTCAAGGCCTTTGATAATGCTAAGGAATATAACCACATTCAAAGGCTTATCAAATATTCTAGATAATTAAATATGAAACAAACACAAATAAAATTAGTACAATTAAATAACCTTAACCAAACTACCTTGAGAATAAGGCAATGTCATCAGATAAAGCAAATTATCCATTAAATAAAATATTTGTTTCATTTTATAGACAAAAAAAAAATTAATTTATATTGATGTAAAGATGATCAAACAAATATTTTATTTTTACCTACAGCTTTTTTAACAAATTTATGTACTTAGCCGATGATGAGAAATAACGAATCTAAAGATTAAGATATTTTAAACATACTTAAACCACCAGAAAATCCTGACGTTTTTAATTTTAAATTTTAGAAGAATTTGCCTCTGAAAAGCACTTGGATAATTCAATAAATCGAAAAGAGGAACTAGCTTCAATTTAAAAATATTTAATTACTTCTTAAACTCTATGTTCTAATTTTATAAAAACTCTAACTCTTATTTTTCCTATAATTCGTTAAATACACTGAAAGTTATTAAGCATTTTAAATATAGATGTGACTGTAAGAGTGATATCAGTCGATTAACCTTCATTTGGAAAAGAAAAGTATTAACTAGAATTATAGTAATAAATTTCTTAATGATAACTTTGAGAGGTCGTTACAGCAGAGAGGGTTGATAATTAAGGGGGACACCATCGTTTACCTTCAGTACCAATTTCTAACCATCGAGAAATTTTGTTCAGAGTAAGTGACCTACATTAAATTAGTTGGTACTCAGCGGACGCAAAATTGGATGCTCTACAACTTTGATTATATGGAGTTTTCCTCTTAGAAGTCATTTCCAAGTTTCAGGCCCATTTATAATAATGTGTCTCAGTTTTTGACAAATTTGGTAAAAATCAGGGTTTATTGAATGTGGTTTTATACCTTACCACTTAACCAAATTATAAAGTTATAAAGTACTTCCTCGACGCACAATTTAACGTTCTTTCATTTATTATAGAATACACTTTTCGCTTTGATGCATAGTTTAGGAGTTATAGGTGAAAAAACAAAAAATAATATCGAAAAAATCTGATTACTTTGGCTGTAAAAAGATTTTTTTCTTTGGTGGCCCGCATTGGGAATTTTGTTTTTTACATGCATGAACCCATATATACAAGTTAAAAAAATAAAAACTGTTCTCACATTTTTTGCTATTCTTTAAATCAGCCAGCATTTCTTAATGCAGTGGCTTCGGAACGACATACAAGGTTCTTTTTACTCAGGATAACTTATCCTTTTGTAATTTACAATCAAACGTTCGCCTGCGATGAGGTCGATTTTTGGGTGCGGGCTCCAAAGGGCTATTATGTATCTCGAATAGGGGCGCAAGTACGAATCCGGCCTAGGAACCAGTTGAATATTATATATCTCAAACTTTTGAGCATACCAATAACTGCAACTGTTGGCGTTTACAAATTATACTAAATTGTATTACGCTTTTTTAATATTACTTTTAATATTATTCTTTTAATATTACTGTTGGCGTTTAAATAACATCCGACATATCAGCCAACTGTTGAGGATGTGACTTCATTTTTTGTTTCAACAGTTTTTGGTTGTATTGAGCGAATAATGTTAAAAAAAAAAAATTGCAAACAAAGTTGTACCTAATTTAAAAGAAATTAAACGTTGTTGAACTAGTTTATGCACAAACCTATCAGCATTATTCACCCTGGGTGCTCTAGCGTTTAGAGTAATGAATTAATTAACGTCACGCAACGTTAATAATTGAATACCGAGATAACAAGCAGGTCCGTTAACTATCCATCGATTAATTAACACAGATGATAGAGCAATCTTCCTCCATCCTCCAGGAGCTAGTTCACCTGGGTATCTTCATTGCCTGGATCCATTGATAGCCATGTGTATGCAAAACATTATTTGCTATATTGTTTAAATGAACAGTTCAAACAAAGCTAAAATGCGAAGTATAAACACCAACAGATAAGCAAATTCAAAATGTTTTCTTAAGGTTGAATATGGCGCCATAAAAATATTTAAGCATTGAAGATGCTGTTCTGTTATCGTTGATGTTTATACGCAATTTTTAGTGTTTTTGATAAAGCATAAAATAACTTCATCCAATCAAATACAGAAACTTGTATCCAATTTTTTTATAGTCGATATATTGAAATTTAACCTCTAACATATACCATCTCACATTCCACCTCTAACATATACAAAATTTGTATTAAAAAATGACATTAAATTCTACCATCAAAATAATTAGACAATCATAAATAGTGTTCATTACAATCATAACATAATTTTGCATTTAATTCCTCTAATTTTTCATAAAGGCTTAGTTAGGTTTCTCCTATCTACAAAATACAGTACTGTAAGACTGTTGCGAGACTCTTGTGGAAGACCAAGACCCATCTGGGTCTCGCATTTGGGCAACACTAGTCATAAACTTGCATACTACAATATGCTACTATTTCTTAACCATAACTAAATATTTTTAATATATATAATTTTGAAATAATAAAATAACATTTCTTTTAATATTACCATGTCTGCAATAAAAATTCTGCCAAAAAAAAATAATGAAAGAAATCGTCAAACATTTCTTGCTGGATTGTGACCATGAACTGAATATGTCCTTAAACGTACATTCTATATAAGGCAAACTCAGGAGACAGGTGCGGATCAGGAGAATATGCAAAAAATTAAATAAATACCTTTTTTTTTTATAAAACGACACAATGCCGAAGAAAAAGATCATAGAAAAAATGTGAAAGTGAATTCAATTAAAAATTAATTAAAGTAATTTTTCGCAATGAAAAAATATGCTTGTAAATTAAAATTTTATATGTCATATTAATGAAATGGTAATTTATTTTTTAATTGTTTAATTAACCACAAGATAACGGATTCGCATAAGTATTACAGCCGAAAATTATTTTAATTTCTTAACCGATAATTTTACCTGTTGTTTTTGTCCCTAAACTGGCAGCTCCTGAAGTTTTGAACATATTGAAACATTTTCGGTGTTTATTCAGGAGTGTTAAGTAATTAGTTCCACAATTAGGCTAAATGCAGTATTTTAATAAAAATTATTTCAAAACGGAAAGATGAGTAGTCAAAGAAATTTATTTTTTTTCCTGTTGATAAATTTTCTATTTTATTGAGGGATGATTAGTCCTTAGTCGCTTCGATTCTTCAGAAATAATGTGCTCTGTCTTTTCTTCCTCTTTTAGACACAGACAGCAAGTCGTTGAGAATGGAATAGGTGGCTAACTGTCAAACCTCAGTTTAAAGGTGATCACACATATGTATCAATTTTCTTGAATAAGAGATCTTCATACTTTTGTGAGCCACTAAAAGTAGTGTTTTGATTATACACATATACAATAATTGAAAAAAAAAAATGATGAAAATCCAAATTTCCAAAAGAAAAACATTTTGAGTTTTTAATTCCAAATAAGTAATTGTAAGTCTCGCAAAATACCCCGTGTGATAAATATGTGAAGATCATAGCTCAGAATCAAAATGTCTCACGAAACTGATATTAGTAGACACTTTGACAGACATTTTTAACGTAGGTATATGACTGGGATGTTACAGCAACTTTTTCGAAAAAAATATAATAAGCAGAAGTAGAACTTTATTTAATCGATTTTACACATTTTTGTTTTTAATCCTTCTTAAAATATTCATTTTTTAAAGACTTCCGTCCACACGGGCATCAATATAGATATAACTCAAATTTAATAGTTTTAATCTTCTGGATTCGATGATTCTGTTTCATCAAAGAATAACAAATAAAGTAATTTTACCAACAGTTAACACATAGTTTTATTTTTATATTTGGTAAAGAGATTAACAAAAAGAAAAAAAGTCGCAGAAGATTGAGACAAAGTGCATCCCTCCATTTAAAAATAACTCCTAAATAAAATAACTATGTATTAAATAAATTTTAAAAATAGTCCTTCCACTTTCTGGAATATTAGTTCAATACGAGATGAAATGATACTACTCTGGGCTCTTCGGACGAAGAGGTCGCGTTGAGGCGCCTAAATACAACCAGCTGTTACTAACAAATCCTCGAGAATCGACTAATCTGATATAAGACGACATGAGACGATTTCATTTATTAGCTTCAATAAGAAATTGGTTAGGAAACACCCTTATGTTTAAAATGCACATGTATTTTAGTAAAATATATAATTACAGAAAGGAAGAAGGATTGTATGACTCATCATCAGGATATAAAAATATTTATTCAGAAAACAAGGGACAATTTGTCATGCGACATATAATTAATTTCATATGAAATTTGAATAAAATGAAACATGCTTCTATTTTTCATCACATGACAGCATTACTATCCATGAATATATGAACCAACATATCGACCCAAACACTGTATTTTTCTTTTCATTTCAGAGGATTCCAACATAGTTTGTGGCATTGATATTTTTAAATTACTATAGAACAGTTTCAAATGGATATCATAGAGAATAATATAACTAAATATCTATTTTGTATAAGTTGCATGGGATTGAGAGTCAAGAAAGATAAATGTCTCACATAAGATCTTTTCCTCGAATATGGGTTTAAAAAAAACATTGACACCTAGTACAGCTATGACTATGAGAAATGTCTGATCTCCAGACTATCCGAAGACTTGAATGCCTACTGAAGATATTGCAATGACTGTTACTGACCGAGAACACTGAGACTACGACTGGTCGCAGATCTTCCGACCGGCTCTGGCTGTGGCATCCTTCCTCCTTGAACACTGGACACTGACTGATAGCACCACCTCCCCACCACCCTCAGCTCGGTCGCACCAACTCCCATTCAACGTCGGCCCACGCTCTTCTGATTCACGGCTGTCCATTCATAGCCAGGCTCTCTTGCACAACTCTACGACAGTCTGTGTGTGCGGGGGAGTAAGGGCACTCCATCTCCGCTACGAAAGGAGAATGGTCGTTATGAAAAAGATATGGAAATATACGCGAGTGGGAACCAGTGTTTAGTTCAGACTTCCATAGTTTCGATAACAACGAAGTGCTTTTCCGAAGTAATGTTTACCATCTTATACATATATTTTTTTTCTCTCTACTTTTCTTTAAGGATACACGGGTTTGGCTTTGTTGGCATATCTTACAATTAAGATGGATATGGTACCATTTTTAGCTAACATGTGAATTGAATATTGTTTGGTATAATTTGTGTTCTTCAAAAAGAAGATTTCAGACCCACAATGATCTGTCTTATCCCATTCATTTTTCGGCCAGCTTCGAGGAAGGATAAAGTGGGCTGGATGTGCCCCAAAAGAGTGGCTCGATCCGAGAGTTGATCTACTGCTGATATCTTTTAATTTCATTTATTTATTTATGCGTATCTAACTATCGCAGCAATCAAAACACATAGATTCCTTAACTTGATCCAGCTTTTATTCATTTCCATCCTCTTCCAACCTCTCGGACGACCTTTCTGGTGAAGTTTCTTCTCTTCTACCCAAGTACCAGTGGGCAGGGCCAATTCATTCTTGCCATCCGCACACAAATAATTTTGTAGTAAATAAAAATTATACTTGGACATTAGATTGATTGAGGGAGATTGCTCTCCGTCAGAACATAGAACCCTCTTTATCTCAGCAACATGGCCTTCTATGCGTTATAGGCGGTACACGTCTGTAGGAGTAAGATATGCTCGGCGGTCTCCGTTACTTACTGCCTGGTGAGGAACTGTGTGGCCCAATAGTCAGGGAGGAACCGACAGTGAGAAAGTATTTCCCAATGGTAGTTCCTTTTGGTGTCGAAGTGAAAGTGAAAATCGCTATTGCTAATATAAATAAATAAACAAATTGATTACAACAGCCGGACTCGAACCCGGATCGACGAGTTATAAGTCCAGTGCTTTATTGAGTGATCTACCTCCCTATTTTATACCATCAAGTTTTGATTTCTCACTCAATAAAAATAAGATTTATAGACTTTTTTTGTTCTTCCTTTGATTGTGTATGATACGTGCGAATACATACATAAATATTTATGCACTAGCAGCATGAGCTAAGATAGTTTTTAGAAAGAAGATATATTGCTAACAATTTGTGTTAAGAGGTAACACCTAGCTGGTTCGGTTCTGCACGGCTGCGAACTCCACAAACATAGCGTCCATTAATGTTAAGATCCTCAATAGCTTCCTCACGACTCCAATATATTTTATCGCCACTCCTCGTTGGTTGCCCCTACAACTATTCCTTGAGTTAGGGCCAATCAGCTGAAAGTTTCCAACAGTTGCAGTCAAATAAAAATATTTTAACTTCCACAGTACATATATATCTAAATTTGATTCATAATTAGCTACAGGTGACATAAAGAGTACTACCATCAAACAAATCTCATCTATAATTGATGCATTGAAAAAATAGAAATGATAGAGTTTCATACACATTTTAGTTTATTTAGTAGAACTTGATTCTGTAATTGTTTATTATGTGGCAGTTAATCTCAAATTTCTAAAATAAAATTTCGCAAAACCTTGTTCATACACGTTATTTTTAAAAACGTCATTATTGTAACGTTTAAGGTGAAGTGTTAATCAATAAATTAAGAATGCAATCGTCTATACTCTCGTTAGTTTATACACCATTAATTTGAGACTTATTGAAATATTTTGTATATATCAAAACCAAACTTTCACAATCACAAATAAAATCTATTTTACCCATTGTTATTTGATACCTATAACAAAGTAAAAAAATACAGAAAATTTCCAACCGTGGCACCTGGATTCGGAAGTGTTGATGTCGAAAACATTTGTGCTCCCCTCCCTATTAAGTAAATAAATAAACAGTGAAGGGCAGATAAAACCTTCATCGTATCATAAAATAAATATTAACTCAAAGCAGTACTACCAGATGATAATAAAAAATATACAAACGCCGTTCAATTTAAAGTGGTTTGTATAAAATTTAAAATCTACTTTATTAGAGTGCTACCAATGGGTAGTTTCTCAACAAGTGTGTTTCATGTAATAATATTTCTCTTTACAAATTTACTTGATGTATTCATACTACATTTACAGTTGTAAATATCATAATAAAAGATTAAAAAAAAAAAAAAATCTACTTTCAAATTTATACTATTTAATTCCTGGTTGGAGGAAACACTCCGATCAAAGCCAAAGGTAAATTTAATAAGGAAAATTAACCGCCAAGCAAACCATCTCTTTCCTCCATATACTGCAGTCAACTATTGAGGAAATTTAATCAGTTATATGAAATAAGATTTATATAATTGAAATAAATATTATTAATAACTTAATTGTAGTATAGTATGAGTATGTAAAATACTTATACAGATATAAGCATAGATTAATTTGGGCATGGATATTGTTTTATTTATCTTAATCAAACATTCAAAGTTTCATTACTTTTATTTGGAGGGAAAGGTATATAGTTTTAAATAGTGGTGCCCCAAATTGGTCTTGGTCTTGCAAAGTGCATTACCAAGACCAAAACCACCTAACTGCTGCAAGACCAAGACAACGACTGATAAAAAGAAATCGCTATTTTGAATAAAAATTAAAGTATAATAGTTAATACTCGACAATTTTAGTTATTATATATAAAGCAGCAAATCTGCTAATTGTCACTACCATGACAGGTGCGGATGAAGAATTAAAGACAAAAAAAAATATATATAAAGATTTTTTTCATTTAACTCTTCTAATTTTTCATTCGGGCTTATTTAGGTTTCTCCTATCTAAAAAAATACTGCAATATCTCTATGTCAATACGCTAATAGATAACTGCAAGACTGTTGCGAGAATCTTGCACAAGACCAAGACACAGCAAGTCTTATAGAAAATATATTTATTACTCATGTTCTTACAATCATTAATTATTAATTATTCTTAGTACTCAATAGCTGGACGGAGACAGTTAAACGATTAGAATTAGATCCAGCATATTAAGTTGGAAAATCTGAATTGTTCCAGGAAAACATTGAAACCAATTAATATGAGAATAGAAGAATTAATGATAGTTGGGATATAACTGGCCGTGAACCATTGATGACTCGAAGTTGCATCAATTGTACTGATGTAATCCCACTTGATCCACGTGATTTTCCTATGACGCGAACTCCTGTAAAAAGGAATAATATAAATTTATGAAAAAAAATTATCCCATAAATAATTATTTTTGATATACATTGATTAAAACAAAATAAATATTTTTCGTATAAAATCTCCAATATTTAATAAATTAATTAATTTAGAAATATATTTGATGAAATGTGATCACTAATGAAAAGTGATAATTCCATTTTTTCTCGAAAATTCTAAACAATCTTAAGCACCTGGATATGTTTATTGGGTTTCGAACTAAACCCATCGGAAAAAGTAAAAAATCTCATTTTTTTCACTTCTTAAAGCAATATAAGATATAGTTTCTCAACCATAGGAAAACAATATCATGTAACAATAACGTAATTTATAATAAAATATTTGTTCGGTGTATTGTGTGTGATTAAAATTAAGAAATGTTTCATTAAACACATATTTCTTTATTGAATAATATTACATTTTGAAATATTAAAGGACATTAATAATATCGATAAGAGTAGCACATTCACACTCTATCTACAATAAATAAGAATAAATTAAACAACAAAATTATAAAACTAAAAGTAAATGTAAATAAAAAGCAACTAATCAAAATAAAAACAAATACACGCATACTTGTATGTAATATTTACAAAATTCATTCACTCAGGAGAACTCCGAGCCAAGCCTTTCCCTCCACTGGTGAAAGAGAAGGTAATGCTTCAGGAGATCCCAGCGCCTTTCACTCAGCCGTATTTAATAAAATTTCGCTAGAATCTCATATTTTAATTATAATTATCATTACTTTTTAATGATATTGAAGACATTTTTATGGGAATTAAAATGTCGTCTTATATATTTTTAATATAATTCCATATACTTTTGAATTTAAAAAATGCTTAGTGCTGAAATGAGTTTCTAATATTTTATTTCATAGTAGATTCTTCAACAAAATAAAATAAAAGTACACAGTTAAGATGCATCATTTTATTGTTCGTTATATCCATAATTTTCAACAAAAAAGGATGAATTAATTTAAAATAAAAAAATGTATACTAAATTTTTTTTTTGGATTAACTGAAAAAATTGAGAACAACACCTTTTTAAAAATGACAGTGTCTGAAACAGCTATGCACTGAAATTCGCATGTGTATATCACTCGTATAATAATTTCATTTATATGTTGTATCATAAAAATGAAAATTATTTTTTGTTTAGCAGAAGCAATTGATAAATTAAGTTTTTCGATGATTGTCGAAAAAAATTGTTTGGTTGACATAAGAATACTAGAATATAACTTTTAAAGCAAACTTTCATCTTCATTGTCTTACGAACGAATTATTAATCCTTACAAATTGAAGAGTAACTCAAATTAACAACGAATAATACTCAATTATTTGAATTGTCTTCATTAATCTCAGTAAGGAAAAAGCTATCGAAACAGGTTGAAACGCGTTTCGTGAGTCATCCTCTTGAGGTGATGAATTCAATAGTTATTGTTATATTATTTCTGTTTTATATACGGGGTTTTAGATTACACAATTCACATACTTTCTATAAAAATATTATAATACTTATTGTAATTTTATGGTCTATGGTCTAGACAGAAAGTTCATTTTTATTAGTTAAGTAATTATTTCTTATTCTTATATTGGAAAGTACAATCTTTAATGCGAAGTAAAAGAGAATGTCCATGAATATGTAATATACTTGGCATACAACAAAACTCAAATACATCTTTCCTTCTTACTCGATCGCAATTCATTGAGAAACCTTTAATCA